ACCTGAAGGAGCACCGGACTGAGGGCACTCTTTGTCACCTTGCCAATGGCCTTTTTGACCACAAAACGGCACAGTGGCTTTCGGCTTTGCGTTGAGCAATGCTTTTGCCACCACCAGAAAACTTCCTGCCAAGGCGCATGCCCGAAAGTCGACGGGCTGTCACCGTCAGGCAGTGAGCTGCCAAATCAAGGTCCGACATGTCGGCGTCGGCCTCCGCTTCATCCTCACCATCGAGGTCGTGAGGTTCAGCTTCAAGCTCATCAGGCGGTTGTTCGCCTTCATCTTCATGCGTCTCTTCCATCGTGCCCTGCTCCTCGTCAGCTTGGTCACCCTCGGGAACCTCAGTGAGATAGGAGGAGCGAACAAAGGTGTTGGAAGAGCTCGACTTGCTTGAGCTCTTGCCTTTATGCTTGCCTTTGCCCTTTGACTTGCCTTGATCACGGACAGGTTGGTCAGTCCGCTCTCTAGGCTCTTTGGTGTGGGTCTCAAAGTCCCGGGTGTAGACCACAGCAGGAACTGCACGATGTTCGGGAAACTGTGTCTCGGCCGCCTCTTTCACATCCTGGTAGCAGATGGAGTTGGATGTAGCAACAAGGATCATCCTTTGGGCTTCAGCGCTCAGGCGCATTCGATCCAAGAGTCTGGAGCCGGCGGCCTCTTCATCGTACATGTGGTTGACATGTACGCCAACAGCTGCTAGGCTGCGTTCGCAGCGATGGTAGCGGTTCGTGAAGGAGCGAATGCTCTCATTGGCACGCCGTGAGAGGCGTTCGAAGTCGTCCAGGAGCTTTCTCTTGAGGTATATGCCTTTCACCATCAGAGGTGCTCTGATCGTCTCGAGGATGTACTCAATGCCCTGGGGATCATCGACCTTGTCGAGGTCGCAATGCTCGAGTTCTTCGGCGGCTTCGCCGCCAAGGTTCACGAAGAGGAACATGGAGGCCTCATTCGGGGGCAAATAGCTTCGAATCTGGCGGCGCCACAAAGCAAGCTTCCTCTCCCAGCGCTGAAAGGCTTGGAGGTCGCCTTTCTGGGCATCCCATGCTGGTGGCAAAGGAGGTGAGCCACCGCGATACTTCAGACCTGGTGCAGGTCCTTTGGTGATGTCCCAAGGCTTTTCTTGTTGGGACTTGTTGTGGATGCCGTGCATGGACTTCAGCATCTCGTCGCGCCAGCCAGCATTCTTCGAGCTTCCATGGTCGGATCCGGCCTTGAGCGTGCCGTCACCTTTCCCTTTGCCGGCTTTGGACTTGCCAGCATCAACATCTTTGCCGGCTTTGGACTTGCCAGCGTCAGCTCCTTTGCCGGCTTTGGGCTCGCCGGTCACGGGCATAGTTTGAGCAGCTTGTTCTCGGCTCGGGGGAGGATCATCTCGTGGTACCTTAGGAGAAAGACCTGGTAAAACAGGGGCTCTAAGTGGAGTGTGCGCAGGTTGTTGAGGGACATGTGAATCAGAGTCTCGTCCAGCTGCTTGCTTCCGAGCTCTCCTCTGCCTTCGTGAAGGCCTTGTCACAGGTTGCAACGTTGAGGGATCAACGCTCGGGTCATCAGTGGGAACTTCTGATTCAGCGGTCTCTCGGGCTTCATGTCCAACAGGTCGTGGATCGTCATGGCGCGTCTCGCCTCGGGGAGCATGTGGAGTATATGTCCACGAACCCAAGCCTGTATCATGGCTATGAGGGAGGTTGGCATCGTAGAAGTTGGGACAACCACAATCCAAACAAACATAGCCCTCTCCATGCGTTCTCCATTGTGTGCTGTGGCAATTCCTACACAACCAAAGGGGCACGTGCACGGAGCCGTCAGGTCGTTGGAGTTCGGGCATAGAGCTATCGCTCGTGTCCGGGTCAAAGCTCATCGTCCGGGGCGTCCACTGCCAAGGGTGGTCATCATAGACCTCATCAAAGTCAAGGTCGCCCGGCGTCTCGTCAGTGGCGTCGTCCTCGTCGGGGTTGTAGGGACCAGGGACCATGTCATCATCGTCCCACTGCCAGTCATACGAGGTCTCACCATCCTGGGACATGCCGAGCTGCGGAAGGTAGTGGGCTAGGCTCCGTGCCACCAACTAACAGCAATGCTTGCTTATGCACGCTGTCGAGCGAAAGGGGTAAAAAGCGTTTCAGCGGACCGCTCGATCGATCTTTTCCATGGCCAAGGGCGGTGCATGAAACAAACGAAGGCTCAAATGGCCATCTCGGGCCCGTGCGACGAGCGGCAAAAGCTCAAAGTGCTGGCACTGCATACATTTCACACCTGGAAGATTTCGACAGCAGTGCTTGGTTGCCATTGATGTGTAGGAACCCTCCAAAGGCGAAGTGTCACCCACAACCATAAAAGCCTCTGAAATTGGATGCATCCCAAAACATATGGCTGTGAGTCTAACCCTGGAGCCCTGTGCCACCTGTCCCATTGGATTGTGGTGTATCTTCCCTCTCAGGGTTTTGTACCTGGCACACATTTTGGACAGAACTCACTCACTTGGCGTTAAAACAACTAGCTTCTTTCGACCTCTCTCTCCCTCTCCTCTTCTTTTTCACCCGCTTCAAACAGCCTCAACCACAGCGGTGTCCACGGCGCCTGCGCAGGCAGCTTCTTCGCCCGAACGCGCGCGACTGTTGCACGCCGCAGAATGCGCACAGCGATCCGAGGGATCTCGCTGCCGCTGCAGAATCCGAGCGGGCGAGATCCTGAATTCGAAGCCGGCAGAGGGCGCTAGAGAGCACGAAGGCGTGAAAGATGCAAACATCCGTGAAGGTCCATGGCGATGTTGGATGGATGTCGTAGCTGTACTCGCTTGATTTAAAGAGTTAAACATCAGGTGAAACACGCAAGTCATGCATGCAAAGGGTCTTTAGCCCCAAGGCAACCGAAAGGACCGAAAGGCGACTCCAATTTCCAGGATCTGCGATGGATTTGAAACCATGGAATAGATCAAAAGAACTTGAGACTCGAACCAGACTCGAACCGATCCATCCGCCTTGCTCGTTTTGGGGGGGAGGCTCAAGCTGGAGTAGAATCTGACGAATTCTGAACCGGACCAACATGGACCAACAAGACCTCTGCAGGCTCTGCCGAAACGTTCATCTGGAACATGCATAGATGCCAAAGGAGGCGGTCATGCGGCTGCTGCCCTTTGTGGTTGTTTACATTGTTGCATAGATCTGTTTTAGTCATCCTGAAGCAAATTGAATGTAGGACAGCTGACGACAATGTTGATCAATTTTGCAATGGCTTTTCCTGCTGTATTCATCTGTTCAAGACACGTTCGATATCTACTTGAGGACGACATTTACCAAACTCACCGCCAAAGTCGGAGAGTTCAGAGCCTAGCTGAGTATCTCGCATCTAGCAATGAGGAAACTGCTAAATGGGAGTGGATATGTTACTAACCTGAAAAGAATTCTGAATCTTTCAAAACGTATCAAAACGTCCTCAAAAGAAACATGGCACAGCTTGTCATTCCGCAGGAACCGCACAGGCTCTTTGGACAGAACAACTTTGTACAGTGGCAGCCAGGCCACGGCGACCGTGGCGGCAGGCCGCCGGACGAACAAAACGTCGCGGCACGAAACGGACGCAAAGATCGGTCGGTCTTGGTGCCCCAGGTCGACTGGATGTGCATCTCAGGAACTGATCAGTGCTTAGTACAACCCCTGAAATAGTGTTTTGTTTAATTCCTTTTAAAGTTTCATCTTGAGCCATCTTCTACACAATTTGTTTGTATTGAAATAGGGAGCCCTCCCTAGTGGGTTCTTGTAAGAGCATTTGGGTGTCTTCTTAATTGCAATATACATACCCACATGAGCGACGATTTTTGTTTAATACATGTTAATACTAAATGTAATGGTCGTATTTCTCACATCTCGTTCAATTGAAGTTGATATTGGTGCTTGTCTGGAGTCCCGTTTTCCAAGTTTTCTACATACCTCTGATGCCACAGCACTATACATCTACAGGATATTTCATTTTATAGCTTACCCCTACCTTGTTCAGCGAGGCCACAACATGTTGGAGAAAAAGGAATACGGCAACCTCCAAGCTGTTCTTTATGTCGGTAAACAAATGCGGTTGCTCACATGGAGACTCGACGGGTTCTCTTGCACGCACAATCTTTTTTGTGTATAGGGACCACAGGCTCGAACATGTCAAGACATGCTACTACCCCCTCTAGGAAATCCGGAGGTGGCTCCATGTAGCCTCCACTCTCCAAGCGGTTGGATCTTTGAACCACTTGCTTGACTCGCCATCCATCCCGGCGCCGACCTTCAAGGCCCCTCGGCCAGCTCGCGACCGGTCGTGCGAGAGGATTATACATGCGGGAGGATTCTTCGCGGTGCCGGACATAAGGAGAGATCAATGCCACAAGTGGTTCGAACACCAAATCGCTTCCAAAGGGTCCACTCGAATTAAACCACTCTGGGATCAATGCCACTCTGACCTCCATAGTCAACAATTGTCTTGGACACATGCAACAAAATGGATTGATTTTACTAAGAGGCTCCCTTGACTACGGTGCTTTGCTCTAGTAACCAGTGTGTAGCCAGTGTGGCAGTGTGTGGAGGGCTACGGATGTGTTCCATCAAGGTACACAAGTGCTTCAACTGACCCAGGATCTTTCCTTCGAAACACGACAGGCACACACATCAGGGGTGCCGCGCGACACAATCCTCGGTGGTCCTGTGCTTTGCCACCAAGGCATGGCATCAAAAATGGACGCTGCGCAGGGCGCAACGCTCTGCGCGCTCTGCGCGCCCGGCGCGGCACGCGAAGAAGGCGGCGCAAGGATGGAAAGCGCGCGGAGGACGGGCTGAGCGGGCTGTGTTCGACGCTGCAAACCTGGCTGTTCATCCCAGTCAGATAGTCACAACTCAAGTGTTGGCCGTGGGAGAAGTTTTGCCCCTGATCACTGTGACTGGGACGAACGGCCTGTCTAAGACCTCCAGGACCACCCGTGCTACATTCTGCCTGAGCAGCTTAGGTCTATGGCCTATGGCGTTCTTTTGTGAACTTAGGAGGTCCTGAGAGTCATGTCCTGTCACGCGGATCTGATCGTTTTTCGAGAACTGGCCGGCTGCGAGCGCGCCGACGATTCTGGCCGTCGATCGTGCCGCATGCCGGTGACTACTGCGCGCAGGGCCTCACGTAGGCCGATAAGAAGGCCCTGGAGGCTGGAAGAGTGCGGATCCATTCCTGAGCGCAGTGAGGCAGCTTCCAGCGAAGCAGCGTCCAGCGAAGCAGCGGGACACACCGGGCGTCCGAAAGAAAGGAGATCCACCGAGAGGAGACCATCCTCCACGTCGAGAACCGAAGGAGTCGGGTCATGTTCAGTGAAAAGCTACCGACGTGACGCCCCAGAGAATGTGTTGTGCGGGAATTGTTGGGATGGAAAGCTGATAGTCAGGCGGCTAAGCTATAGGCTTTATTAGGCCTTGTTTGTTGAGGACTTGTCTATAGGGTTTATCAGGGTATTTCAAGCATGGGTCTGTTGAACACAATGAGGGGATAAAGATGGATGAAGGAACATCTTTTTGTTTGCCTACTACTGAGACGTGTGCCCCATGTTGAGACACACCCTGTTTGACATGCCGGGATGGCACACTGAAGTAATTATTGTGCTGGGCGCAGTATGAATTTGCGAATCAAAGGATGCCAAGACTGACGCCAAGTTGGCACAGCTCATTGAAATCTGGTGCGCGTCCTAAAAGCAGTTTTTTCTACCCTCAACCATGAATGTTCCACCTGTATCACTCAACATGCTGTTCCCCCACCATGCCCGAAATCACCAAGTGACTCCAACAGCCTCCTCCATCTCCAACCAAAACCAAGGCCCCACCCACACCCACTCACCCAACCCCTCACCCCAACCGCCATCCAGCGGCTGTGCAGCGGCCGTCCTCGCGTTGCCACTGAACGCGCCCCACGTCGGCCGAGAGCAACCGACCGTTCCCGCAGATCCAACGTCCCTGGGAGCCGCGCGGCGTCGGAGCGGAGCAGGTCGGAGCGCGTGTGGATGCGGTGGCTGGGCGGCTGGGTGGGGTGCGGACCGCGCGTCGAAGAGGGTGGGAGGCTGGGAGGGAGAGAGTTCCTAGGAGTTTGGCTGAGATGTGAAGAGATGGTGAGCTGAAACTCCGGAGTCTCAGTAGATTCGATCCTCAAAGTTGAAGTTCCGGAACATCAACGGATCGAAGCAAAAGTCCTTCACTTCTACAGTGGTTTCAGAGTAGATGGCATAAGTTACCCCAAGTTTGGTGGTTTATATGGGCCCGCATCTAACAGACATGTTGGGGTGTCAGTCCCATCTCGAGGCACGACCATCGGCGAATTGGCCTCCTCACGATAGATCTTCAGAAAGGTCTTCCAAAGCCTGGGAGGAGATTTCATCTGGTTACGTGCTTTCAGCTCAGAAGAATAGTAGTCATCTGGCGGTTCAATCATTCCAAGTAAAGGTTGAAAATAAGCATATCTTACACATTCCGAAACCACCACCCAGTCATAGATGGAAGGAGCTTCCGCCACCAGCTGCTGGCTCAGGTCCTTGCGAACACTCCGACTAGCCATGATCGGTCCTGTTTCGAATTTCCATGTGTAGCTGACCGGACCCATCTTCATAGGGTGCCAAGTCTTGAATCACGTCTTCCCCGCCCCTAACCCAACAGAAACACTCCAATCATCCACATCCCCAGCTGAAGCAACCAACATCCACTCACCCAACCCCACCCACCGAATTCTCCTCACACATCCTCACACCAACATCCACTCACCTACCCGGCCAACCGAACTCACGTCACACCTCCTCACAGCCAACATCCTCACTCACTACATCCACCCCGCCCCAACTCACACCAACATCATCCAGCATCCACGTCACTTCGTCTTCTTCTGATTCTTGTGATCCCAACTGATCCGTGCTTTCGCGCTCTGCTCGTCGCGGGCGACCACCGATACGCAGTGTCCCAGGGAATCCACCCACTCGCCCAGCAGGAAGCTCACCGCCGAGAAGTCCACGCCGTCGATCGTCAGGGGACCTGACGAGAGCTGAAGCTCACCGATCACCACCGGTCCGGCCGAGGGCGGAGGCGGGACCAAGTCGGAGGTATGGCTGTCGATGGACGGTGCATACCCCAAAAAGGATCCATTTCAGGAAGGTGAATGGATAGCCCAAAAAGCGAGGAGAAGGGGGCCCTAGGGTTAATCCAAAGAACGTTATCCAAGACACGCCATATTGATGTATAGTAATATTAGTTCTTGTTTGTTACATTGATCTACACTGGGTGTGGTTGAAAAGGGGTCAGTCATGGGCATATCTCGCCATGGAGGTTGAGGGACGGGCCCTACGATGTCATTCTTGAGGCATTTTCGGAGAATTCACAGTGGAGGGTGGAGACGAAGCTTCTAATCAAAACAAAATAAGGGGGAGTGAAATAAAGGGTTTATGAATGAATCTGCATACATTGAGCTTTTGGTGGGTGCCAAGACTTCTATTTGGGGGGATGATCATAAAGTAGTGAATTGAATTGACACAACATGGGGACATCTGTCTTTGCTCTTCAAGTGCCGTTTCTACTTTTTTGTAGTGTCCCTTATGGTGCATCCTCCCAAAATCACCTCTAGGCTGAACAATCCTGCCTCCTACGCCCATGTAGTTACCGTAAAGGCGAAGCCTAAATCCACCTGACCATTGGGATCAAGTATTCAAATAACTCGGTGGATGGTCAGGTGTCCCAAGCCGTTTGAGAAGTGATCAGCCCAGCCTACCAAAGTCTTCAAGGTCTTTTCCTTAGCACGAGACTGTGGCAAGCTGTTTCAGTCAGCTGGGGCCAAGGTGGAAAGCACCACTTAAAACTAGAAAGCATAGGGACAAGACACGGAAGCCTGCCCTGCCTAGCAGCAGCCCCCCAAAACAAAAGCAATCATAAATCATAACGAAATAGATGAGCAAACTCATGAGTCACCCTCACAGTAAGTGAGGATTCTGAACATAGTCGAGTCCCACCAAATCCCAGACCTCTTCACCTTTGATGGGCTCCTCCCCCCCAGGAGCACCACGACACACGTACTGGGTGTGCGGGACACGGAGTTCCAAAGCGCTGCCGCTCGGTGCGATCAAACAGCAGCCCTGGAGGATCAAACCCGCTTCAGTCGCCGACGTGCCGCTCCGACCTCCCGCAAGCGAAGCCCAACAACAACCCCACCCCCAAACGCCCCCTTTCCCTCTGTTCCGTCCACCCTGGATCATCCTCGTCATCTTCCCCCGTTGAATCCAACGACCTCCAAGGCGCTGGTGCTGGAATCACCTCCACCTCCTTCAGTCCGCCTTCCACCGAAATCAGAGCCTCGTCGCCCTCGTCGCCTTCGCCCTCACCGCGCAGGAACTGCGCCGTGGGCGTTCCGCCGCCAGACAAGCCGGTCGACGCCGGACTCTCGTCGTCGTCGCCCACGGGGAACCAGTCTTCACCTCCGAGGTCGCTGGTCACGAGGTTCCAGCTACTGAGGTCGCTCCTCGCATCCTCGGCCTCCTCCGAGACAAACTCCAGGAATCCGTCCGAGTCGAGCTCAATGTTGAGGTGCTCGGAAGAGGTCATGGGCAGATCTTCCTGAAGATGGATACGGCGATTTCTGCTGGGGCCTTGACCTGAGGTATGCTGTCTGGGAGGTGGGGGTGAGGGGGGGGTGCAAAACCTGGCCAAAAAGCTCACCTATAATATCCTATAATCATGTCCTGCAACGAACGCGATGAAATCATGTCTTGTGGCTTCTCTATGCTTCTCTCCATTTCTCTCCTCTTGCTGATTTGGCACCCCCAAAAAAACTGTTCATCAAGCTGGTGAGGACCTCTTTCATCCTTTCATCTTCCTTTCCCCACACCTGGTCAAACAGGGAAACGCTCTCGCTGACGCCAAAGGTGCGATTCGTTCTGTCATGGCGGCACCAAACGCCCCAACGCGGGCGTGCTCGCGCGTTACTGGCTGTGACCAAAATCTTGATCCCCGACGAAGGGCCGGATGACGGAGGTGGGACTATGAGGAGGCCGTTAAAAATATATAGTGTTAGGCCTATAAATCCTCATCATTCCTCATGGACATCCAAAACTGGCAAGGCACTGCCTTGCATGTCTCGCAAAGAACTGTTCGTCCAACAAAACCACATGATATACTTCGTCGTCCCTCATACGATTTCTTGATCTTGGATGCTCTGGACACCTCTTGACCGTCTTTTGCAGCTCCCTGGCTGCACTTTCCCTCAAGAACCTTCAGACTTCGCATGAGTGGAGTGGCCACCTTCCAACCCACCCAGCACTCGCAGACCCTGCGGATGCCCCCGCCACCACCACCCGCCACCGACTTCCGCATCGTCCGCATCGCCGTCGCTGGGGGCGCCTCCAAATCCGCGCTCTCGTCCCAAAGTCTACGGAGCTCTTGCAGAAGCTTCAGCTCTTGCGTGAGCCTCAAACGGCTCGCACTGAGCTGCCGAGTCGAGATAGAGAATGCCCGCCCCAGGTTTCATGCTACATGTGCGCAATTCTAGGCCAACGATTATAGCTAAGTTAGAACTTCTTGAAGGTCTGGGAGCATGATTTCTCCAAGTCTTCCCCAGGTTTTCGGGTTCCATCGGCTTGAGTTTTGCAGAGAAAACCACCGGTGACGATGAGAAGACAACCGATGGAGCTGGAGTCGAAGCCGCAATAACTCCGAAAGCCCACGGAAGTCTGGATGAGTTGTGTTTGCTTCCTTCAAATGGATCCATGTACCAGGGGTCACAAAGGGGTGCCCAGAACATCCACTCACTGGATGGGGTGCCCATCATCCCACCCCTTTGTGACCGTACATTCATTGAATCTTTATGAACCTTTGCTGGTTAACCATCCAATTGAAGGAACCCAACGATATCCGCTGGATCAAAGCCGAGCTCACGCCCTCCACAACAGCTCGTTTCACCTCTGCGGCCTCTACATACACGGCGACACCCGAAAACGAGGCCCTTCCATCATACAGGCATACAGACGTGGCCATCTGATCTGTTCCATATGTGGATTCTTCCACTATCACGTTCTATATGGCCATGTGGCAGTTCCACCATCTGTTCTGTTCCATACACATGAACACAATGATTCTTGGAAGTTGCCAAGGCCCTTTCCACGCGTCGGACGCTTTCGCGATGCCTCTCGCATCCACGCCATCCCGGCGGCGCCTGCGGTGGGCATCGGCCGCCCTCTGCAGCATCTGGATCGGGACGCTCACCTCGTTGGGGGGGTGATTCAAGAACACCGCTGGCTACGGGTGCCCATGGACTAGAAATACACTCGGAATCACGTTCCATGGTTTAGTGAAGTGAAAACCGGCTGTTTGGTCTTCCAATGTCATTCTCATCCTTTCGTGGCCGTGCTATTCACCATGATGATTTCAGAGAGTGTCATTATGATCCACTCCCCTTCCACTGGATGCCTCTACGCATGAGTCAACAAAACTTCTTACCAAATCCAAGCACTTAGAGTTTCTTCTCCTGAACCCTTCGCCCTCTGAAAACGTGCCACACCCCACTCCGAGTCTGGGCAGGCCTTATGGCTGGTAACTGCCTGAAGAAGTTCCGTGAGGGTCTGAAGCTCCAGCGACAGCTGCTGAAAGGACCTCCGACGTCGACCGCGCCGGGACGTCACCGGCGGGGACCGACGTCCACGTGGTGGTGACGGTTGGGGGGACCGACGTCCACGTGCCGAAGTGGTCTGAAGGGTAGAGAAGGCCCAATAAGCCCAATAGGTCAAGTGACTTTTGACCGGAAGTGACAGTGACGATCGATGTCGATCGAGGTCGGTTCGCGCTTCATTCTCTGGCTCTCTGCTCTCTGATGCTCATGGATTACAGGGAACGCACTGGGACCAGTCATCGCTTCGAGCGCGACAAGCCACGTCTTCATCCAACACCAGTCACCACGCGGCTGAGCCGGTCGTTGCCAACGGAAAAGGGACGACTGGGTGTGACCCGGCCAAATGGCTTCCGGTTGTCACGTGACCCAAAACAACGTGATGCACAAACCTTCAAGCCATGCCACTGCAATAGAGCCTAGCCAACCAGGTATTGCCGCTGCTCCAAAAAGGAACCTCATCCAGGTCCATTGGTTCAGTTCTTCTAACGAGACCTCGTGAGGCCGCAAGCCTTTTGATGACCATCTTCGGTCATAGGGACTTCTGGAGTCTTGGAGAACAAGAGTCTCAACTGTTCTATTTCTTGAGGCCGCGTCCCGTCCTGCCGCAAAACGAACCATGTAGACCCCCGGCCCACGTCCACAGCGTCCGTCTACACACTTTTCAGAGGTCCATTCTCGATCCTTTTTCATGGAGGAAGCACCCAAAGCTTAAGTGATCATCGGCAGGAAACGAGACATGCCAAGCTGCTGACTGAACTGTGTGTGACACCTTTATCGAGTTTCTGGGTCCAGAAACTCTAGAGGAACTCACCCAGCTTTTCACGAAACCAGTCGTTTCATCCGCGCACGTCCACTGCCAAACTCAGCCAGTCCGCAACCCAATCCTGGCGTCCAGGTCTGGTCCAGGTCGCCTGAAGCGGCACCAAAAGGGATGATCTACCTGGCCAGCAAAAGGGGGGTGGCGGGTGGAGGGTATATATGTGTGTATGTGAATGTGTGTAATTATTTGATATTATTTGTGTGTGCCAAAGTAAGGGCGTGGATCAAGAACTTGAGCAGCAAATGTGTTCGTCCCTTTCATTGGGTCGAACATACAAAAAAGAAAGGCTGGATATTCGATGAAGAGTCCTTTCCGAAAGCAACCACGCGTGTACGAGTATGTATATATAGGGTTTTTTTTGATGAGAAGTTGTCCATCCACACCACACAATGATATGTTCTTTTCAAATGGCTTTACCCTTCAAATCCCTTCAATGAAAACTGTCCAATCATCTGAATTTAGTCTCGTCAATCTTCGATGTTAATGTGTGTTTTTCTGTGTGAAACAACATGACTTCTGCTCTGTTTTCTCTCTTCGTCGAATCAGCTTGTACGGGCGAGCCCGATCAGTACTCAGTCTGGGATCCTAGTTGCTCCTTCACTCAGAAATGGACTAGAAGATCAGCCAAGATTCTACTTAGATCTATATTATTATAGTCAAGGCCTCTTGCAACATTTGCGGCTATCCCTTGCACAACACTTCAAAACCCAATGAGGGCCGACTTGGTATACGCTCCTCGGTCTCTGGAATATCCCCTAACTTGACTAGCTGGTGGTTAGCAAGGAATCAGGGAATGGATCCTAAGGTATCTACCATGGGGATCCTTCCCTCATTCCCTGCTAAGCTCCAGTCTGTTGAAGGGTATGATTCTGCGACAGCAAAAAAAGGTTCCGCTGCTGTCAAGACGGGGCTGTCAAGACGGGCGCCCACGGGAATCCAACGCAGGGCTTTTGGGCGTTTGTCATGCGCAGAACGGCTCTTCTGCCAGCCCGGACGATGGACGAACACTCAGTTTGTTCTGGCGGCCTCTGGCAAACACCTCTGCAACCAGCCTGGGCGGGTCAAACAGTCAGTCAGTACAATGACCTTGAACAGCCTCAACGGCTGCATGTACATCAACAGGTGTGGGAGAAGAAGTGGCTGGACGACTGGCCATACAATTATGAGCTGCCTTAATCTCGGTGCTGTACGCAATTTACCCCCAAACCCCTTGGATTTCATTTGATATATATATATATATATTGATCCATCTCCGCCTAAGTGGAAGAAATGTGTCAATCCCCCCAAATTCTCAACTGACCAGCCATAGAAGTGTTCAAAGAGAAGTTTCCAAGGCCGTGTTTAGCACCTAGCATGCAAATCCAGGAGAGGCCAAACAGGGTGAGATGGATTCGGGCTAACGGCTAAAGGAAACATCGCCGAAGTCAGCCCCATCGATGGTCCCTGAAAACAGGTTCCATGGAGCATCTGACACTGCTTCCCCCTTCTTTGCTGTCAGGGGGTCGACCTGCCAAACATCCAGGTGATTGAGCTGAAGACTTAGATATTATATAGCTGGAAAACACCAGGAACCGCAGGGTTCTTGTGGCGGGCAAGCTTCCTTCAACTTCCCTCCTTCCAAAACAGGCCAAGAAGGCACACACAATGGGCTTGTCCTACTTCATGAGGGCGCACAACTGGGCGCCTTCCAAGATCCAGCGGAAGACACATTGGTCAACGCCACGCCCCAGCGTTGAGAAAGACCGCGCTCCGCTCCCCGACCATGGCGGCCCTTGGGTCGTGGCCGCTGATCTGCTTCAACTCCGGCCAAATCGGCCGCAAGTGCCGCCGGAGCCTGCGCACTGCGCGCGCGCGCACGCGCGCACGCGGCAGAGTCTTGGAAGGGTCGATATGGTCCATTTGCGACGGAGCCTGCTCAGTCTTCAGGCCTTGGGAATACTAGACGTGGTAGGAAAGTCTTAATAAAATAAAACTTGTTGAAGCTTCGCAACAGCTTGGTTTGCCCTTTCTTGTGTGGCGTGTGACACGTGTCACACGTGTCTGACACGTGTGACACAAAAAACACTGCAATATCATGAGGGTTTATCAGTGGCTAATGAGAAACTTGATGCTGAGGTTGGTGGAAGGTTCCAGTAGATCAAGTGGATGCTGGGAATGTGTAGTCAAAACACCACCTCCCAACCTCCTGACCTCCTATCCACCCAACCCAGCGTGGGGTGGAACGAAAAAAGAAAGGATATGAAAGGATGATGTTGGATGATGATTGTAAGTTCCCCACCCAAAGCTCTCGGTGTTGGGAAAGAAGGGGACTGTGAAAATTCCCGACATCTGCGGAGAGCTACTTTCGAAGATGGGACTGGTCAGTAGGTCAGATGGGACTCCCTGCCAAAGATGTCCCTCTTAAGAGGCTTTCGTTCACTTCTTTGCAGCGTTGAACTGCCCCTCTGTCAAAGCGAAACACTGTCAATGTCCCTCTAAAGCCCCGCGGTAAGCTGGCAAGCTGGCAGCCCTCAAGCTGCACGTCCTCAAGTTCCTCAAGCTGGCCTTTTCTCACATTCATATGCAGCGAAACCACTGATGCGTCTGCAGTTCTCCCTCCTAGAAAGATGGGAGAAGAAACCTGGGATGTACACAGCAAGCACGATATGATCGAAGCCTCGAGTGATAAGCTATCAGAGTCAGAGGATTGCAAA